GGGCATTGGAACGGGAACCAGGATGCGCCGCGCCCCCCTCCGCCTTCCCACAACTCTTAGCGGCAGAAGAGGAAGAGCTGGTCTGTGGGATAGCTGCTCAGAGTGCACCGCTCCGAATACCGCTGCCACTGCGGCAAGTGTGAACACGCTATTGCGCAGGCAGCTGACAGTGTGAACACACAACAGCGGTTTCCCTTCAGTGCTCTCTGAGCGGCGCTGTAACTCTGCCAGTGTAGACATACCCGAAGGGTTACACTGAGTGAACTCTTCACACTGCACTTCGGCCCAGAAAAGGCAAGCGGCTCGGAGGGATGGGAAAACAAAGCTTTGTGGCAGCATGTGAAGCCACTCCGGTCTCTATTCCCGCAGTTCAAAGTGACCAAAGGGTAGGCTTTAGGAAAGTGTTATCGCTGTAAAGTGACCCAGCACCTAGCTTAGACAGAAGAATCGGAAAGGGGGAGCAAATTAATCTTAAGTAAAACTGGGGGACCTACAGGAACTGAGACAGCTGGTGAGGGGAAGAGCATCAGTTTTCTTGTAACTGTCTAAAGAGAAAAAAACATTTTTGCCATTGATTTGAAGGAGAGGAGGCTTGTAGGGCCTGATCCAAATCCCACTGAAGTCAATGGAAAGAGTCCCATTGATTTCAATTGGAACTGCCCCAGTCCCTCAGTCTCTGACCCTAAAAGACTAACACATGTACTTAACGTTATGTTGTGAACAGTCTCGTTGACTTCAATGATTGCAAAATCTTGCTGAGGCAGGGACTGTGTTGTCTATGCCTTGCACAGCACTGAATGCAGTGTTGGCATTAAAGGTATAATAACATTGTGCCAGAGTGAATCCTACCCTTAGCTTTTCTAGGATTTTTCTATGACTCTTCTACATTCATCTTGGGTGACATAGGCAGATGGTGTGATGTCGCTATTTGTGAAGTAACGTCCTCACTGACAGCAAATGAAACAAGACTGGTGCAAAGGAGTGGGCAGTAAGGACAAGCAGCATTGCAAACAGTGATGTACTAGTAGTCAGGAAGCATTCAAAAAGTCATTTGGGTCTAAATTTTCAATAGTGGCCTGGAAGGCCCTGATCCTGTAAATTATTCCAACAGATGGACTTCTGAGCCCGCACAGCGCCCCAATGACTTCATGGGGGGCGCTCTACAGGCACACAGACCCATGTGGGCTACCTTTCAGGGTCAGGGCCTAATTCTGGATAACCATCTTTAGACCCCTGCTATTCTCATTGACTTCCACTGGAGTTGTATGTGCTCTGTCCCATGATCCCTAAAGCTTAGGACCCAGACAGTGAGAGGCTCAAAATCAGAGGTGACTTTAAAAAATGTGGACCCCCATCTTAGTTCCTGAACAGATGTGGCAGGTTATGCAGATGTTTTTTCTCTTGTATCCTCATCTGTCCTTCCTATCTGCCTAGGTGGCTTTATATAACTCATAAAAACAAAAAACCTAAAGATATCTAAAGATGTCCAGTGGTTAGGGAGTTGGAAGACCCAGGTTTAATTCCCTGCTCTGCAACAGGCTTCCTGTGTAACCTTGGGCAAGTCACTTAGATCCAGATTTTTAAAGCTATTTAGACATTGCTGCACTTAGCATTGTAACGCCTAACTGATTTAGGAGCCTAAATCTCATGATATCAAGGATCCTAAATCAGTTAGGTGTTACATTGCTGCACTTAGCATTGTAACGCCTAACTGATTTAGGAGCCTAAATCTCATGATATCAAGGATCCTAAATCAGTTAGGTGTTGCAATGCTGAGCACAGCAAACCCTAAATAATGTTAAAAATGTGGGCCTTAGTTTCTCTGTACCTCAGTTCCCCATTATCTGTAAAGTGGGGATAATGGCTTTTCCCCACCTCACAGTGGTGTTGTGAAGATAAACAGAATAAAGATTACAAGGGCCTCAGATACTATAGTTATGTGGGCTAGTTGATTTTTCTTAGATTGTCATAAAGGTATTTGAGATACCTTAAAGGGGCCTGATTTTCAGGAAGTGCTGACCACCCAACACTATCCAAAAATCAGGACCTTTTATGGTCTCTCAAGTTGGGCACCCAAAAATTGAGGCACCCAAAATCACCAGTCACTTTCGAAAATATGGCTGAAAAGATTATAGGAATCTGGGAGTTCACATGAATAAGAAGCAAAGTGAAAAGTGATTTTGATTTTGAAAATTCCTTCTGTTATTAGATTTTTATTAATAACAGAGATATGGGGTTACGCTTTGATTTTAATTAGAAAAGATGGGTTTGCAATATATGGAGCACAAAAATAAAATGTTGAAGAAAGAAAATCTGTGGGTCTTTACCTACTACTTTAGTTCTTCAATATTAATTTAAAATTTTAGTTGAACATTTTCCCCCAAAATACTACTACATTAGTACCTTTTTCGATGGAGTGAAACTCAGATAAAGAATAGTCTAATGTATCTTCAAAAATATCTTTTGTTCCATGTGCATTATATTTGCAATTTACATGGAGATTTGGAACAGCAGCTCCATGGGAGTTACTTACTTTGGATGGACTCCTCTAAAGCTGAGTTTACACAGCTGTGGAAAGAAAACCTAGCAGGGATCAATTAAAAAGTGCAACACAAATCCTTAGGCAGGCATTCCCAGGCAGTCCTGCTGTTGAGACAGCCACTATACACAGAGAATGAGTGCTCTAACTGTATTAAACTTAGTCCTAACCAAAATAAGCTTTTACTAATTTTCCCCATTTAGGGGACATAAAGAGCTGCCTTTGTCATTTAAAGTCTATGCTGACTAAGCCTCATAGAAACAGAACTTTAAGGAACCAAGGCAATTAAATCCATTTAGAGAGGTCAGAAGAGCCTTAGCATTTTAGACATGATGGACTTGTATGGTCTGTGCTTCTCATTCAGGTGAACTCCCAGATTATGGGCTGATAGGATGCATAATAAGTCAATGAGGCTTTCAAAGGTCACCTTTGTTTTTTGCTGATAGCAGAGTGATGGTGACATCGTAGCAGGTCACAAATGTGCTGGATTTACCTGCACCTCTCATTACTGAACAACTCGAGTCACCAAGCAAATGAGACCCCAGACACACTGTCTCTGTGTGGGACATATTTATTACCAACCTGCAGAATTTTTACACACAAAGAAGGCCCTGGGGAATGTAAAGCTTCGACAAACTGATGCAAGGAGAGGAGGAGTATAAATAAGCAGACAGCTGAAGAGCCTAAAGTCTCACTAACTCACCAGCACATCAATAATACAATAATGTCATCAACTCACTGTAGACTCTGAACAATGCTTTTTCTGTTGTTCAGTTAATTAGTAAAAGAAGAGATTAAGGGGTTTAATCGCTCTCTCTCTCTACCTGGAGAGGGTGTCGAGACAGATAGATGGACAGATAGATAGACTATGATCATATAAGAATTACTGAGGATGTTAGTTTGGGCAGCTTTTGTCTCCAACCACCATTCACTGTGTTACTGTGAACACTAAAGGGTCATCCACACCAGTGCAAACTTGACTATACTAGTGACTGAAGGGAGGTAGGAGGATATGAATTTTAAGCAGTTTCCTGAATGAATGCAACACTGTATTTTCCCACCGTTCTCCTTATGATGACAATTCAAGGAAGATAACCTTCTCCACTGAAAAACCCTGAAGGAAAGTTAGTTTTTACCATAGCAAATGCAAGAAAGAGAAGAAAGAGGAAGCTGAGGAGGGGAGGAATTAATTCAATGTCAAACTTTTCCCTTTCCTTTGAAATAACACCATATTAGGAAACCTTCTTAAAAGCTCAACTGAAATGGGGCTAAGTTGTTACCAGATGCTGTAAACCTCTCTCACTTTTTTTTTTTTGGTTAGATGTCTGTGAATGGCTTCACCCCCATAAATCAAACCTTCCTGCAATTATCACTCTGACTGGACAGCAGTGGGCTGACTGGCCATTGTTGTTTCCCGGCTGGTATCTGCACTACATCAGGTTGCACTGTCCTTGATAAATTTAACATTGCTTTATCAATGAGCTTTGTTTCCCTTTTTACAAGTCATTGTCTTTAGGATGCGAAGTTGTAAAGCAAATCATTTTATTTCCTTTGCATTCCTTTACATCCTCATCCTTTTAGTGGGATCCCTTTCCTGGGTGGCTCCCACTGAGATAAGTGGGAGTTGGAAGCATTCAGTACCTAGTGGAATAGGGTCCTGTTGCTGCTTTTGTATGTTGCCCTTAGGAAATTTATCAAGGCTACCTGCAGAAATTTGGATCCATAACATATTTCTGGCCTGTGCGTGTGAAGGTAACGTGCTCATGTCACTTGTCACAACTCATATTTGGGTTAAAACATGCAGGCTGAGGCTTTAGACGTTAGTTTTTACATCTGTACTCTCATAATGCAGCCACTGAGAATGTCTCGCATCTGTACCAATCTGACAGTGGCAGGCCCAGCGAAACCATAAAAGCAGACCCAATTAAAAGTTTCTCATCAACTTGGAAGTCCTTCAGGACACAGTCCCCTGGCCTGTTTACAATTCAATCAAAGTAAACATTTCACAAAGCCCGAATTGCATCTGATCGCCGAACTGGTCATCTGAAAGGAAACGTTCCTGACATCCACGCACAGAACTTACACAGAAAGTTTTACAGACTGCCTGACACGCTGTCCCGCAGCGAAAACACTAACGGGAAGTTGTGTGACATTTCAGCAGGGCTGCCTCAACCACAATTAAAATTTCAGAGCTGGGCTCAGGTGCTGTCTCAAGTTAGGTGATTTGTTCTAACCAGCACAGCAATGCTTCGTGCAGCAGAGATACCAGGACACAATTCACAGGAAACACAAGGAGTTTAAAACAACACACATAGTGGCTGTAAAACTGAAGCAGAAAGTCATCAAACACATGGTGAATTACTATTCAAAGTCCAGGAGACAAACCAAACCTGCATCCTACAGGCCCACACACAACTCGTAAGACAAGCAAGCAGTAAAGTAGGTAGAGAGAATAACTCACCATTGGCAGGTACACAGAGGTTTCCAGAGCCACTTTTAACTAAGAATGAATTAGGGACAAACTCTTCCTCAGAGTCAGAGTCCTGGGTTGGCTGGGCCACACCATTGCCTAGCAACCTTCTCTGGCTCTCATTGGCCGCAGGGGTAGGGGGAGGGGAAGGGGACTGCTCAATAGGGGTTGATGAAGCAGATGAACAATGCAAAGGAGGACCTGTGAACCACAAACACAAACACAGACAGAAAAATAAAAATTTATAAGGCACACAAGGAAAATCAACAGAAAACATGCACAGTGGGAGGGGGGGACTTTCAAAAACAGGACATACTGCACATATTTATTAACATAGCTGTGTAAATATGCACGGTGTGTGAATTTACACACTGCATATGCATGTCTATATATTTATGTATATATATATATATACACACACACTTAAATATGAATATGTTGTACAGTGTGCTTCTTATAAATCCTGTAATTTCCAATCTAATGTAGAACGAATGTCTCTAATGAAATATACACTATCAACAAATTTAACCTTTTTTAAAGTTTTACTAAATTTATCACTAGATATGCTTTTGTGATTTCTTAACAATTATTCAGAACCGTTCTTGGTTTGGATGTAATCATTCCTCTGTACTGTTTATAACCCAAAGCACCCTTACTCACATGAGTAAAGGGGCGCAGGACAGACTCAAACGCTGCAGTGATGTGCTAGTGCATGTCAGCACGCCAATGAAACTGACTAGCAGCAGGCTAGAATGCAAGTAAATCCAGACAGTATAATTTCATGAAGTCAAGAGAGTGGCAGTATAATAAGTAGTATTTATATTGGGCCACTCCTGACTCAGGGAAAGCTCCTATTGACCTCAAAAGAAGTTAGATTGGGCCCAAAGTGAGTATTTAGGCCCCAATTCTGCAAATACACTGCAAAGAGTTTGCAGGATTTGCATCTTAATACTAACGATAGCAAAACTATTTCAAGCAGATTTTCAAACAAAACTATCAAATCAAAAATCCCAAGTGACTAAAAGAAAGGCTGTTATATTTATTCAAGCCTGATGTCTGAATATGTGCAGTACATCACTAAAAACAGAGGGAATATAAACACAAACATATAATAAGTTAAAATACAGGACAATGCATTTAACACTGATTTTTTTCCTTGAAACACATCCTATGAAAGTAATAATGATAAATCTGTCACACTTTCCAAATACTGAAAAATCACCATGAGAAATCCATGAAAATTACTCAGTGCTGAAAAATCAGCATGGAAACTCAGTCAAACTTTCTAAAAAAAAAAGTTTTTTAAAAGCTTTACTTGACCATAACAAAAATACATGCCACATGGTTGCACAGTATTTCTTATTAAACAGAATGTTGTTTGCAGTGTTGCTGTAGCTGTATTGGTACTAGGATATTAGAGAGACAAGGTGGGTGAGGTAATATCTTTTACTGGACCAACTTCTGTTGGTGAAAGAGACCAGGTTTTGAGCTACACAGAGCTCTGCTTCAGGTCTGAGAAAGGTGCTCAGCGTGTCACAGCTAAATACAAGGTGAAACAGATTGTTTAGCACAGTGGTCCCCAACCAGTGGCGGGCGCTGGATGACAAGCTGCCAAAGAGCGCGGCCGCCGGAGAAGCAGCCGCTGAAATGCCACCGAGAAGCGGCAATGTCAAGAAGCGTTGCCGCCGAAATGCCGCCGAGAAGCAGCGTCATCAAAAGGGTCGCCGCCGAAATGCCGCCAAGAAGCAGTGGCATTTCGACGGCGACACTTCTTTACGTTGCCGCTTCTCAGCGGCATTTCGGCAGCTGCTTCTCCGGAGGCCGCGCTCCTTGGCGGCGGGGCGCTCCCTTGTCAATAGGCGGGCGCACCTGGCGCCTGCGGGCACCGCGTTGGGGACCACTGGTTTAGCATAAGTAGTTAACATATTCTAAAGGACTTTTCAGTATGAAGTGGCTTGTTAACACCCCTGCAGTCACAGGACCAAAAAGGGGGGTTAATGGGTTACAGATTGTTGTCATAAGCCATAAATCCATGATTTTTAGTGAATAGCAAAGTTATGAATTTAAGTTCCCAGGCTCATCATTTGAAAGTGCTGTGCAGGTTTCCTTTGAGGACAAGGACTGGGAAGTCAGATATGGAGTGATCCTTTTGTGAAAGTGTTCACTGATGGGTGATATGCTGTTTTTGTCTTTTATCCTTTTTCTGTTTGAGTTCATTTGAGAGTATAATGATTCTCTGGTCTCACCCAGGTAACACTAATATGCCTCCAACTCTCTTCACTATGCCTAGGTCGGGCAGCACACGCTGAACATATCATCATACATTATATCTAGAGCCCAATAAGACTGACCAGTAGGCATAATGATCTGAAAAGAAGTCCTAAATTCAAAATGTCAACATTTTTGTCAGTTTATGTCAGATGGTTTATGTTATATATATAAATACACATACGTATAAAATTATACTACACACACACACACACACACACTATATATATATACTGCAGTTCATTAGATTTTATTTTCTCTGATACTAGTGAAAAGAAAAACGTGAGGAACCCCCCCTTGACAGTACTGATTTTAATCATCTGCCCCCTTACGGCTTTCACACTAAACTTTCCACAGACTTCAATGGGAGTTACACGTGCCTTAAGCGGTACATGATCAGACCTTTAATATGAAAGATTCAACTGAAATCATGCAGTAATTTGCAGGTCACCGGCTGTGTGTCCTGGAAAACCCCATCTTATGCATATGGATGCAACAGAGGATTCTACAAGCTACAGGATGAAGATGCTACCAGTCATTTACACCCATAGCAGCATGACTTGTTATACAGGGCATATAACCACTTCATATTACACATAGCAACAATTGTTATGTATGTAAGTCAAACATATCTGACAGCCTCATTAAAGAGAATTATCTACATTTAATAAATACAATTTGATTCAGTAATACAAATAAATAAATAATCTAACAAAAATAAAGCAAGAAAGAAATCCAAGATATAAGGGTAAATCCTGCCCACTTTCTCACCCAAGTAATCCCATTAAAGCCAATGGGATTACGTGCCCTGAGTAAAGCGGGCAGGATTTGGCCCATATGCTTTCATTCTGGCAGCCAGAGCAAAATTTCTAATTGATTGGTACAAAACGAATCCACAGCAACACTGGGTTGCTATGGAACCAGAGCATGTAGGCCAAGTCTGTCTGCAACATGTGCTATTTCTCCCTCAAAAAATGATAAAACAGAAGGACTAGATAACCATTCATTACGCACATTCTTGCAATTTGGAAACGAACAGAAAAATAAAACCATATTCCAACTATGGGCCCCTTGGCACCAATTTATAACAATCCCATATATCCTCTTGTATTGAATAGTCAAATTATGCTCTTTGGATTTGAGGCAGGAACAATGTAATTTGAATAGTTCTGTATGAGTGGTATGTTACTTTCTCTGGGTCAGAGAGGGCTAGCAAACTTATTTTTACCAATGTGCCAGTATTTCCGATTAAGACATTTTTGGAACAATCAGAGAAAGATATGCTAAGACCTCTAGCAGATCTATAGAATTTATTAAGAAACACAAACTTTGAAAATGGATTAACAGAAATGTTCTATTTCCCTACTTAACTAAACAACCCCGCAAAATGTATACAACCGCTTTATCACTAGGAGAAAAGACAGCCCAAAACAGACACAACGTAGTCTGAGGAAAAGGTAAAACAAATAATATGCAATAGTTCCGTTTACACTATGCATTTGGGTATAATCCTGCAAAACATGGTGCATCTCCTAAGAGTAGAGTGACAAAACGTCCTGTTTTTAAAGGGGAAGTCCCGTATTTAAGCCCTCCTGCAGGTGTCCCAACTTTTTCTTAAAAACAGGCAAATTGTCCCATATTTTCTGTCTCCCCCTCATCAGTACTGGCGGATCCTGCTGCTGGCCAGATCCCTGCTCGCCAGCCCACCAATGGTGAGTGTGTTTGTGTGTGTGGGGTGTTTCCAGTGTCCGACAATGGGGGTGGGTGTGCAAGGCTGGTGGCAGGGAGAAGATGGAGCATATAGGGCCGGCTGCTCCCCCTGCTGGTCCATCAGGGCCCCACCCCCCCGTCCCATTTCTGGCCAGTGCTGGCTGCGCACTGCGAGCTGTGGCGGCCAATGAGTGTGAGCAGGTGCCAGGTGGTGGTTGGTTACGTGTCGCCTCTGCTGCCCACCCATCGGCCCTTTATGTGCTCTCCCTCTCACTGTCCTCTCCCTGCTTTGCCCCTTCACCCCCATATCCCCCTGGTGAGGCACATCCCACTCCCAGCGCTGTGCGGAGAACCAGCCCCTGGTCGGAGTGCTCAGCTCACCAGCAGCCTGGCCGGCAGGCTCCTTCCTTCCCCCACTGCCTCTGGCTAGCCCGGCACCCCAGGAAAGCCCAAGACCCTCCGGCCCAGGCACTGGCCAGGAGGAGCCAAACCCTGCATGTGCCAAAGCCCTGCACAGCGCTGGCATGGGGAAGCCTCTCTGCCCCTCAGTTAAGCTCTGGAGTGGCGGGGGGGGGG